TTATAACATAACATTGATACATTGTAGCTAAAGAGTTCCCGTTTATTTAACAAATCTTACGTGACCAGAAAAAACAAGCGCGCGCGGTAAAATAGTCTTTGCATTTGCTCACGTCAGCAGCGTACACCCATGGGCAAATGGGGGACGCTTAATTCACCAATCAGAGCGCGCGCTTTACTTTGGTTATGTTATAATACTAATTAATACACGTAGGAGACAGGAGCTACGGTTTATTCGTCCTCATCCGAGAAGACTAGAATGTCTATCCATTTCTTGATATTATAGAAAGGTAGCACATTCTCCTTAGCTATTTTAAGACCTTCAGTGTTCGGCCGTCTGGGACTCGAACCCTCGACCTCTAACATTGCAGGGCATTGGTTGGAACTAGCATTGAACCGCATTTATTAGAAGTTATTGAAGCACAACAGTGCGGCGCTCTACAACCTAACCAGGCGGCGATTTAACGACCACCACACCAAAATAAACAAATAATAAGTAGGATGTCTGTGTTATTTAACAATTATTCGCCGAAGGCGAAGTGAATATCGTCGAATAATCCCCGAGACGAAGTAGGGGGGATTATTCGATAGTATTCACCGAACCTGAGGCGAATAAATGTTTTAGTATAATTTTAGAGCTGAACAACAGAAAAATTTCTAAAATCATAACATTTGAGTAACATTTATTACAGTCAAACTAAGTGAAGCATACCCCTCAGGATTACATTAATGATTTGATTATCTGAATATTGAACCTGCTAATCGTTTCAGGAGCGCAATACCTGTATTCGTTTTGAAAAGGCGCGGATCATTGTTCAAATCAGAAGTCCATTTCTGATTGGATTATGCGAAAACGTGATGATGGATCGGACTGTTTCAACATGGCGTCAGACAAGGAAAAGCGAGTTCGAGTGTTGTGTAGAACTTCTTATAAATGTTGTAAATGGAATGTTATCGAGAGCTTTTTTCGCCTATTTATATCTTGACGAACTTGTAGAAATTCTTGTTTGTATTCATGGTCGAAAAAATAGTTTACGGGCGAAGCCATCGCAAGACTTTTTTTATTTCGTTAATATTTGCGATCGGCTGTTTTCGCAGTGTTTTTACAGTGCGGTTTGTTAATTTTCAGGATTCCTCGTCAAATAGAACAATCTTATTGGACTTCAGAAATGGACTTCTAATTTGAAAAATGATCCGCGCCTTTTCAAAACGGATACGGCTATCGGATTCAACATTCAAATAATCAAACCATTAAATTTATTGCATTCTTAAAACGGCTAGCAGGTTCAATAATCAAATAATCAATTCATTATTGCATTCTTCAAACGACTGGCGGGTTCAATATCCAAATGATCAATTCATTGATGTAATCTTGAGGGGTACGCTTCACTTAGTTTGACTGTAACATTTTATTTTAACATTTTATATAAACCGCGTGGAGCAGTCAGCTCCGAAATTATACTTATGTGTCATAATCATTATTAGTGAAAATAAAAGGCTGAAAAATGTTACGCCGCCCAGTTCCGACTTGGCGTATAAATAGTGAAACAACAAAGACACAGAACAGAATCATGTATCATGAAATAAACAGATAATACAAAATTTTCTGTTTCGAGTTCGATGAGCTCATATTATATTCAGCTTCTTCGATACTGCTGGTGTTAATAAGTACAACGTTTTGTTACACACCCGTGGGGCAAATCACACTTTTACAGAAGATAAGGTGAGAACTGAATTAGTTAATAAGAATGAGGTAGGCGGGTACTGATTAATTATGCAAACATAGCAAAGAATGAGAAAAATAGATCGATCTTGATTATACTCGTGACTAACGTGGGCGAAAGAAAAACACTGCCTTTCCTCTCGAGTATTCTAATCTAAGACATTCGGATTTTACGATCTGAAATTCTCCCTCATATAGCCCTAGATTTTTCTCGTAAATGAGCCTGGGTACATCATGTAAACTATCATTCTGACCTGCATACTGCTAAAATTATCAAATATGTTGAAAGTGACATGACTGAAAATACGCAACGAAAGAGAGTCAAATTCAAACTCCATCGTGACAAATGAAAAAAAAAAACAATCATCAAAAAAAATTATGCTATCAGTTTAAACAACAAAACCGACATTAAGATTATCGTAAAAGACTTTGAGGTAGCTGATTTATCTCAGTGCTCATGAGGATGACTCCAGTATCATGTGCCCAGCTAATCTTATATGAACCACAATATATGGCCTCGCTTACTGCATCCCAGCACAGCAAAAATCTCGGGGATCAACGAGAGGGAGGGACTAAGATTTCTTTTTCACGGTCCATGCTTCTAGCTCATTCAGTAAGAATTTATTCATAAAATTCCTGTAAAATACACCGAGGGTTTCTAAGATGCATGGAATACACAGATAATAAAACAATTGAATAACTTCAGCGGGAACGATTTTAATCTCCTTTCCTTTAGTTACGACGAGAAGTCAACTATCCTTCTTGGAAAAGAGCTTTATTGGAGTTTAATTGCAAGCTCTCTTTGGGTAAGGAAAGATAGTTAAGAAATGTGTAGCATATCATAATCGAAAGGTGGGAAAAACTGTGAAAAAAAAATTATAAAAAGACCACTTTATTGTTGATAGGGTGTTGTTTAGCTTTGCATCTCCCTCCGGTGATGAACATATGTAGATTGTTCTCACAGAGTAGATATCAATGCAACTGTTTCGCCAAAGAAAAAATTGTGATGGTTGAGAACCGAGAAAGTTATCTCTTAAGGGAAGTATTTGATGTAACACTAAATTCTCTTTCCATGTGAAAGGCAGTCAACGAATGAAAACATCAGATAGATGGACGTCTGTTTAATCTTGCTCGGGACTCGATTACGTATGAACAAACCCATACTTTTAATTTTGCAAATCAGCATCATTCTCATGTTCGGAGAGAACAGATTCTATCATTCCAAACCTGATTGTATTAGGATGACGTCTACAGCGCCACTGAATTGCACTGGAGACTTTTCACTTTTGACTGCAAACTTATTTGGTGCAGGATTGACGGGCCGTTATTTACAAGAAAAAAGTTCACCCTTATTATTTTTAGAACATTTATGAAGTCGTAACGGTGAAAGCGAAATATTAACATTTGCAAAAAACGTAATGCATTTTCATAACAGCTGCACTGATGGATATCGCCAATCAGCTGCTGACACGTCACTCGCCTTTAGCGCCACTTTGTCTGGTTCATGAATAAATACCAAGTTTTCATTCCTTGATGAAGTCGCCTTTCTTATCAATAAAGGCCTATCGTGCTTACGTAGTAAACAAAAAATACATGGTGGCTTGTGGATGATATGGAATTACTCTCTCGTTATCAACTCGATATCTCACAAGAGAGCGCAGCGAACGAGTGACTGATATATCGAGTAAATTACTCCATGAGAAATTGTATTGGTGAAATTTTACTCACGGTATGAATTCATCCTTTCCGATTCAGTGTAGGTCCAGCTCTGAGGAGAAAAAGAATTTGACGGATTGCGAGTGTTTTCCGCTGAAAGGGAAATAGCTGAGTTTAAATCGCAGAATGAATCAATCGTCATCCAGAAAAATGTAGACAAAAAAAAGATAAAAAGATAAAAAATAAAAAACAACCAAAAAAAGCACAATGACTTTCTTAAGGTAGAACAGCAATTTCGAGCACGAAAACGAAGTTTATGCGCGTTCTAATTTTCTTTAACCGGCTTAAACTCTCGGAAGTGATTGACATGTAAATTCTCCCTATAATATCCATACATTATCCAGCAAACAGGTAGTGAGAATACTCAAACTTATCAGGTAGAACTTGTTATCTTGATCTAAAACCAAAGTCACATAAGTAATTTAAAAGGAATCATGTAGCAGCAAGAGGGGAGAATCAGAAACTGAATCTGGTCCTGGGAGTTAAAGCTTTAACTGCACGTGATCAATATGCAACGGAACGGCGTGATGAGCATGTGACAGAGCTAGATTACGCGCTTTATTTAATTTTAGCTCTTGTCAACATCAAAACCACCCAATATTTCTCGAAAATGAAACGAAGTGTGAAACAAAGCCTTAGGTTAAAGAGAAGGAAAAAAAAATACAAAATGTCTACGTTTCTGTTGTATGTCTAAAGATCGCAGCAACAGTTTTGATTTCGCGACATTCCCGATCTATAATGATAATAACCGTAATGAAGTTGTCGATGAAATTCAAGCATTTTTTTCTGTTTCGAAACCATGGCGTCTTCATCCCACGCAGTAAGGATACCATTTATATTTCCACATGTAAGATGTCAATGTCGTCATCATAACCAGGTTTATCAACATGACGGTTTTACTTTCCATGCAAGGCTTTTGTTTACATCAACGAACGTCTCTAAGGCTCAACTCAATATGTTTTAGAGGATATAGTCCTTGTTATGAGAAATTGTTACATTCTTTTTTTCCAAAGTTAAATTGGTGTTCGGGCGAGCTGAGTTTTCGGAGCAGCAAATCTCTATATCCAGTGCTCTTAAAATGTGTTTCAAAATTGCCTTTGATTCAAATTTGCAATCAGTATCTACATAATAAACAAGATGATATACATCGCTTTTTAATACGAATTTATCTCCCCTAGTTTAAAAATTTTCTTTTAAGGAGCTAGAGGTATTATTTACACTCGATGGTAAATCAAAATTCGTATCCACGTGCGGCTACGCAGTACCACCTTTGTGAGCATTAATGACCAGGTGTGCGTTTAAAAAGGCTCTGCATTGTGTTAGCTAAGTTTCTTCACTCCATTTTAAGAACCGAGACGAAAGCCTCGTCAATAAAGGATTTATTGCATAAAAAAAAAACAAATATCTACAAGCACCATTTTAAAAACCGAGGCGAAAGCTTCGTCAATAAAGGATTTATTGCATAAAAAAAAAACAAATATCTACAAGCACCATTTTAAAAACCGAGGCGAAAGCTTCGTCAATAAAGGATTTATTGTATGAAAAGAAAAAACAAATATCTACATTCCCCATGGAATTACTGAATGAATCTGCGAGTGTCGTTGTGATTTTCTTGGTTTTAACTGAAGACTTTGACTCCGTTGTTGCCAAAGCTGCCAAAAATAATTTTTCATTCAAGACACTACACGAGGCATTTATTCGGCTACAAGAAATTATTTTCTTTTTTTCTGCGTGATCTAAACAGGAATCACTGGACAACACCTTTTGTCCTCAAGAACAACAAAGAAACAGAAGGAATATTTGTGAATAACGCGATAAAAAGCCAATAAAAGTGAAATTTTAACCCCAGAAACCACAATGACTACAAATAGGAGCAATTGTTTTGATGTAAACTAGAGGCCATCATGCTTGAAATATTTTTGCAAGGCACAGAAGCATATGAATACGAATAAGAATTGTTGTAAAGTAAAACTATTATTTTTTTTCCTAATCTTTTAGCCTTGTATATAGAGTAAAACTATTATTCCCGCTATTTTCAGGCATGTAGAAATCATCATTTGGAAAATAGAGAGATTCAGAGGACGACAGTTTAACAGGTACAAATCAATTTTTATTTTTATTATAATTTATGACATGCAGTAAATGGTTTTATGACAGTTGTTTAGAGCTCATGTTATCTATGGAAGCGCGTAATCTTATGTTTCTACCCCCTGACAACTGAATTAGATATAATTTCAGTAGATTTTCCTTGTTTAATGTCGTCAGATCTGAAACATTTCACGTCTATCACGATGATAAATTTTTATTGGTTTCTCTTAATTGATTCACCTTTGAATAGTTTGCGCGCGCATAGTCCCCTGTAACATTCATACATTGTCCAGAAAACAGATAATGAGGATACTCAAACTTATCAGATAGAACTTGTTATCTTGATCTAAAACAAAATTCACGTAACAAATTTAAAAGGAAAGATGTAGCAGCAAGAGGGGAGTATTAATAATCAGGTCTTGAGAGTTAAAGCTTTAACTGTGCGTGATCAGTATGCGGCAGAAGCGCGTGATGAGCCTGTGACGGAGCTAGATGACGCGCTGTACTTTCAAGGTTCTTCCTAGTTTTTCAATGTCAAAAAAAGGTTTCCAGTTTTAGTTTGCTTCCTCCGTCAAATGCTTCTATGTTCTGGCAGTAAAAGTCCCTCAACTGGCCTACAAGATTAAGCTATGCAGAAGTATAACTGCAACGCGCGGTTCCCAATTTGGTTTTGATTCGTAGTTGATAATATTTCTTGATAGCAAGGGTATTGATGGAAAGTACAACCAAAAATATTTCTCCAGTCCCCCAAAAATATAGTATTATTCATTGCCTTTTGGATCAAAATGGATTCGAAATGAAAAAGCGAAATTTTCTTCAACAAAGTTGGTGAAGAACCAGCTATTTCCACTTCTTCATATTTTCTCAACTCCTTCAGAAGAAAATTTGCACCGGTTTATGAAAAAGTAAGATCTCACACTCACTTCCTTTGGTCGAGAGGTGTTTCTCGATGATTGTATATAAACGCATTTCTTTTTACGTAAAAGGCTCGCGAGGCGTTGGCAGAATTCGTGACGGTCACGCAAACCGTCGGTTGCGTTTCGGGTTTAAGTAAGTTTCGCCAATGCTGCCTACCCCTCATGTGATTAGGTAAATGTATGAGGAGAAAAAAAAGACTGTTTTTCCATGCCAACTAGGTAGAACTAATTTTTTAATGAGAACATAAGCAGTTTGATTACGGAGAGCCTTGGGTGATCAGATACGTTGAAATCAACAAACAAACGACCTAAAAACAAAATAACAGACAAACATGACACATCCCGCGGAACTCAGTTGTCTGTCACGCTGTAACAATAGCGTGACAGAGGAAACTTTAGGAATCTCCTTTTCTCCTTATAATTAAATATACAGGAGTATGACGTTCTCTTCCAATTGCCTTTGATAGATTCTCTCTTTTATTTTTAACCATGTTTTCTAGCGCGCTACAATCAATTCTATTTTATTTCCAGCTATGGCTGAAAGTAACCTCCCAACAGCAAAAGAAGAATTGGAGGTGAAACATGAGCGTCCAAGTTATAGCAACCTCAGCATCGCTTATAACAGTCTTGGACAGTTCAAAAGAGCAATCAGGTACCATCAACGTCATCTAGAAATTGCTAAAGAAGTGGGAGACAAGGCCGGAGAGGGAATCAGTTATGGCAATCTCGGCAACGCTTATCAAGGTCTATCCCAGTTCAAAACAGCAATCGAGTACCATCAACGTCATCTAGAAATTGCTAAAGAAGTGGGAGACAAGGCCGGAGAGGGATCAAGTTATGGCAATCTCGGCAACGCTTATCAAGGTCTAGGACAGTTCAAAACAGCAATCGGGTACCATCAACGTCATCTAGAAATTGCTAAAGAAGTGGGAGACAAGATCGGAGAGGGAAGAGGTTATGGCAATCTCGGCAACGCTTATCAAGGTCTGGAACAATTCAAAACAGCAATCGGATACCATCAACGTCATCTAGAAATTGCTAAAGAGGTGGGAGACAAGGCCGAAGAAGGAAGAAGTTATGGCAATCTCGGCATCGCTTATGACAGTCTTCGACATTTCAAAACAGCAATCGGGTACTATCAACGTCATCTAGAAATTGCTAAAGAAGTGGGAGACAAGGCCGGAGAGGGAAGAAGCGATTCCAATCTCGGCAACGCTTATGGCAGTCTAGGACAGTTCAAAACAGCAATCGAGTACCATCAACGTCATCTAGAAATTGCTAAAGAAGTGGAAGACAAGGCCGGAGAGGCAAGAAGTTATAGCAACCTCGGCAACGCTTATCAAGGTCTAGGACAGTTCAAAACAGCAATTGGGTACCATCAACGTCATCTAGAAATTGCTAAAGAAGTGGACGACAAGGCCGGAGAGGGAATTAGTTATGGCAATCTCGGCAACGCTTATCAACTTCTACGACAGTTTAAAACAGCAATCGGGTACTATCAACGTCATCTAGAAATCGCTAAAGAAGTGGGAGACAAGGCCGGAGAGGGAAGAAGTTATGGCAACCTCGGCAAGGCTTATAAAGGTCTAGGACAGTTCAAAACAGCAATTGGGTATCATCAACGTCATCTAGAAATTGTTAAAGACTTAGAAGACAAGGCCGGAGAGGGAATCAGTTATGGCAATCTCGGCAACGCTTATCGCAGTCTAGGACAGTTCAAAACAGCAATCGGATACCATCAATGTCATCTAGAAATTGCTAAAGAAGTGGGAGACAAGACTGGAGAGGAAATCAGTTATGGTAATCTCGGCAACGCCTATCAAGGTCTAGGACAGTTTAAAACAGCAATCGGGTACCATCAACGTCATCTAGAAATTGCTAAAAAAGTGGGAGACAAGGCCGGAGAAGGAAGAAGTTATGGCAACCTCGGCAACGCTTATGGCAGTCTAGGACAGTTCAAAACAGCAGTGGGGTACAATCAACGTCATCTAGAAATTTCTAAAGAAGTGGGAGACAAGGCCGAAGAAGGAATCAGTTATGGTAATCTCGGCAACGCCTATCAAGGTCTAGGACAGTTCAAAACAGCAATCGGGTACCATCAACGTCATCTACAAATTGTTAAAGAAGTGGAAGACAAGGCCGGACAGGGAATCAGTTATGGCAATCTCGGCAACGCCTATCGCAGTCTAGGACAGTTCAAAACAGCAATCGGGTACCATCAACGTCATCTAGAAATTGCTAAAGAAGTGGGAGACAAGGCCGGAGAGGGAATCAGTTATGGAAATCTTGGCAACGCTTATGACGGTCTAGGACAGTTCAAAACAGCAATCGGGTACCATCAACGTCATCTAGAAATTGCTAAAGAAGTGGGAGACAAGGCCGGAGAGGGAA